CCCACTCATGCCTGCGGCTGCCCCTCAGATGCCGGCCTCCCACCAGGTGCCACCTTCCCTTTCTTCTATGTCTCTGTACCTTTCCCGGCATTCTCACGCATGGTTTTGGCTTCCTTCTCTAAGCTGACGACTTGGTCACAGGTCCCCCTCTGCCCACGCTCCCCTTCCTCTGTGTGTCCCCCAGGCACTCTGGCAACATGGCTCCACCTCAGGGAGGGACCTGAGTACACCCTGTCTCTCTTGGTGACATCACCACCCACCCAGCCACCAACCCACCAGAAACCTAGAAAGCAGCCTAACCCTCCTGCCCTCATCCCCTCATCCAGTCACTGACAGATCCTGTAGCGTCGACCTCCCTGGCACTGCCTTTGTACCTGGCCTGTGCTGTGGCCGTGACCCCAAATAGGCCTGCTGTTTCCTCCATGCTTCCAAGCTGCTGCCAGAGTCACATTCTGACAGTGTTCATCAGCTCAGGATGTCCCACCCCAGCGACAAAAGAACGAAGCTCAAGCTCTTCGGGTGGCTTTTCTCCGGCCTGTTGCCCCACACGCCTCCTCTGAGCCTCGCTGACTTCCGTGCCTATCGCACAGCCGAGCTGCTTTCGCCTCGCGTCTGTGCTTGCACAGGTCCCTGCTCATGGACGGAGGGTCTGTCCCCTTTCGCTTCCCTCCACCTCGCCATCCCTGACTCCCACCCCCCCACCTGGCCAACACCTGCTCCTCTTCCTGTTTGCAACCCAGATGTCCCATGTTCACAGAGGAACATTTATTCCTCCATTCCTTGTGTCCTCACTGTCCTCTTTATCCAAAATGCCTTCAGTCGTCTCCACAGCTCTCTTCTCTACCAGACTGTGAAGCCCAGTGGTGGGTGGGGAGGGGGAGGGGAGGGAATCGCTTCCAGCAACAGCTACCTCGCAGGAGGCCGAGGGGGCCAAGAGCTTGCTGTGTTGAGACATATTCAACACAAGGCCCAAAACAGCCTTATCAAACCTTGCCTTTTTTATCCTCCCTGATTTACCTCTCTTTCCCTTCTTTCCCCTCTGCTTTCTTTACTCTCTCCTTCTGTACCCTCCTCTCTTTTTCTTCTCTTTCCCTCTGTGCCTGGCTTCTTCCTAGGCCTTCTGCAGAAACGAACACCAGCCCCAAGGCACGTCTGCCCTCTTTTCCTCCTCTCTTGAATCTCTTTCCCCTTGGCAGGTCTTGGAGGACTTCTTCTGAATGCATCAGCTTGTCAGCTGCAGACACAGTCATCTGATGGGAGAATTTAGCCAGGAGGATGGTGATATTGATAAACGAGGTCACAGGAGGAGGAATATGCTGTGGATTTTCAGATCCGCAGTACCAATTGGGTGTAACACCCATATAACGCTCTTGGGTAGAAATGCTAGTTTAAAAGTTCTCCTAAAAATAAGAGGAGATAATAACCATGTGAGCTCAGTATTTAAGTTCTTCCCTCAAGAGGAGGTGTTTGTTTTCCCTTTTAAGATGCAAGGCATCCTGGCCCCAAAATATCCCTGAACATCCATTTATACCCCTGCTGGAGAGACAGCAGCAGCCAGAGGGAGGAAGGCAGCTACGCCCCGCTTGACGGGAATACAAGGACTATGGTTAGGTTCCTGAGCCTTCTCGGTGCTGCACGGTGGCTGCACAGTGCCCTTCCTCAGCCACAACGAGCCCGGGGGCAAGGTTAGCGCAGGTCCCTGCACCCTTCTGCAGCCTGTGCAGAAGAGGACAGCTGCAGATTCCACAGCTCCTCAGTGCAAGTTCAGTGCTGGGTGAGGCGATCCACCGCCCTGTATACTTAAGGGCCCAGGGTGGGAAGAAAAGCTTCATGAAGGGAACAAACAAACGTAAGCAAATAGCCCTGAAGCCAAATGGAACCAATGTGATTTTCCTCTAATGATTTCTAATAGCAGGAATTTGGATCAGGTGTAAATAGTTTAAAGCCCAAAGGAGACAGTCACTGACGATTTTAAAACTGTATTCACTTGGAACAGACATAGAACAGAAATGCCCAAGTATTTCTCTGGTACTGTTGTCCCTGAAACTGTCATCTATTGGGCTGACTACTGAAGAGAAATGAAACCAAATAGAAGGTTGTTTGTAAACAGTCCTTCTGCTGTGCTTAAAAATAAATTAGGGGTATCAGGATGTGCTTACTGCTAAAATGAGGGTGTAGCAAGGCATGCAGAAATTCTGTTTTTACAACGAGGTGAAGACTGGACAGAACTTGAAGAAGTATCTACTCCAACCTTCTCATATTGCAGCAGCGGAAAGTGAGGCTCAGAGAGGCCAAGATTCGTGCCTCTGATCACACGGCTGAAGGCTGCACCGAGCAGAGCCCAGGTAGCCAGCCCGCTGCCTTCCTCCCGATGCGCGCCGGCCTTCGGAATGGCTCACACTCTAAGCCCAGGGCAAGTAGTGCTAAGAGCTGGTCCATGCATCCCCCAGGATATTCAAGCCCAACCAGCCCAGACACTGAGGGTCACCCTGAGCCTGATTTACTGTCAGGGAGCTGCTTCAGCAGCAGGGAGAGTGGCCTTCCGGGGCGGGACGGGGTGGCAGGGCAGGGCATCAGAGGTGCTGAGCAGGACAGAGGCAGGGGAAAGTCCTGCAGGGGTGTCTGTTTCACGAGGATTCCAGAGTACACGACCATTCCTTCTACAAAGCGGGCTAGTGGCTCTAGATCTTGGGGAAAAGGAGACCCCACCTCTATATGCCTGCGAAGAATAAACGACAGCTTTTCCTTCCCACCAGTTGCTCAAAAACCCCAGCCTTTTTCAGGAAATCCAGTCCCGAACTTCAAATGCCCTTGTGTTTGCCTCTCCATGAGTAACTGAAGTGCCTCAAAGAAGCACCAATCTTTTTTTTTTTTTCTCTCTCTATTTAATCTGCATGTGTTTCGAGGCTGGAGTCCTGAGTGTGCCAGTGTTACTCATTCCCGAGTCGAGGCACGGAGGAGAAAGTGCAGCAATCAGACGTAATGGTTCCGCCGAGCCTGCGCCAGTGCTTGCACAGTAGTGTGTTAATGAGTGTTAAAACTGACATCGCAAATACAGTGTTCTCAATTTTTAAAATTACAACTCTGTAACAAGTCATGCTGTTAAAACACACAGAAAATACCAGTTAAGCCTTCAAGTAGGTAACACACAGCCTGTACAGCTCACCGCTATCCCAAAGTGCATAACAAATCATTTTCTTTGAACCGAGGCAAGAATTAGCAGGTGGGTCAACTGAGTGCTAAGATAAGTAGAAATAACAGATCTAAATATTAAACACCAATTATTACCTTATGAGCTCCAGATCAGCTCGGCATTACAACATGCCCCTCCTCAGCAGCAAACCCAGGAAATGTGGAGTTTGGGTGGAAAACACAAACTTATAACCATTTGGCATCTGTGCAATAGACGTGTGTCACTTCCCAGCCCAGCACTTTCAAAATGCTCATCACATATATTGTGGGAAAAGCCTGGCCCATGTATTTGTCCCAATGGGCATTGAAAATAACAACCTCCAAATGCTGGGAGTAAAGCTGCTCTCAAGCTGACAGCTGGAAACAGGCTATCTCCAGTTTCTACCATGTCCCCATAAAGGAGGTTTATGGGTCAGTCTGACAGCCTAGTGGCCAAAGATGTCATCTCATACTTACAGCCTCTGTTCCAAAAACAGAGCAGAAAATTAACCTGACCCTCCCTGATTAGCTTTGGGGACCAGAGGAAACTGTGTTATGTGAGATGTTATCTAGCAAGCTCAGCCAAAGACCCCATTGAGAGCACTGTGAACTTCATACTTTGCTAGGACTTTGGGGAGAGGAAGATGATTCCTCCCCAGGTCACAGTTCAGTCTCCATCCTTTGTGGCAATTAACCCCAGTGTTCAAGTCAGCTGGGGTTTTCTCTCTCCCAGTTATCTGAAAGTACCACTTGGAGAACTCACTGCTATTGGGACATTCTCATGTTCAGAAGTGACTGGAGGTCCAGGTGTGCAAAGTCTTCTACAAGTATATATATGTACAAGAGATGTTAAAAAGACAGTCTCTAAAGCACTTTGGGATTCCCCCAACGAAAGGCACCAGATAAATGCAAGTCATTGCCAAAAAGAAAAGTCAAGTTTTCCAGCTTTCACATCAGCAAAGGATAACCACAAGGGATACCTCTTTTCTGGTGGTAAATCTGCTTGTTTAGAAAAATGCTCATGGGAGTGACTGAGATATTCTGCTTCCTTCCTTGTTTCCACTTTGCACGAACTTCATGGTCAGTGACCATGGATACCATGCTCGGGAACCCAATACCATCAGCAATGGCAAACTGAACAGTCCTCCCAAGTTCGTGCCATCACCTGCCTTCAGTGCAGCTAGGGATGATTTTGTAAGTTTTCTGCCTTCCAGTGCTGGAAACATCAGCTGAAGGCAAATGTTCCATGTGCAAATTCTAAAAAAAAAGCCTGTTCCTCTGACTCAGGAGCCAGTTGCCTCTAAGTCATCTCACCTGTCCTGATGCTTCTGAGAAACAGACATAGACACATCTGCACACAGGCACCGGGAGGTGGCCACCTCCCCGTCCCCTATGAGACTCTAGTCTGATGGAAGGACTTGAACTGGGGACTCAAGGACCTAAGTGGCTAGTGCATTCATCCAACAATCGCCCACACTGCAGCAGCATGGCAACGTCAAGTACACAAAGCCCTCTGAGAAGACCCTCTCCACAACCCCTTGAGGCATGTATTACCCTCAGCCAACTAAAACACAAAACGGACTTCCTAAGGGGAGGCCCACACTTGGATTAAAAGCCTGCCTGACTTTACCATGCTTACACCCCTGAGTCTACAACCTTTCTAAAGACTACACAATGATGAAAGCCACCTGGAAAACCATGGAGAAGAAAATTATCTTACAAAGGGGCCTGGGTCCCCCTTCACAGTTCTGTCCTGGTTAACTGAAGAAGGTGCGGGGGGGGAGGGGGCAGTGGTTGGAGAAGGAAACAATTGCTTCCTCGGACACAAGTTTAGAAGTTTAAAGGTCTTTTAAGTAGCATTAAGCTTTTCAAGAAGTTTACAACTATACATGACATTTTACAAAGTAGCAATTTTTTGTTTTACATCTTTGTCCCTTCTACCCACCCTTCTCCAACAAAAGGCAGTTGGAATGGAAGTAAGAACTTGACATCCTGGGTAGGCCACGTGGCCCTGGTGCATGTCTGTACTTTGCGTACTCACTTCCATACCAGCAGTTTGCCATGTCACGGCAGGAACTCCAGGGCAATCACAGCATCATATACAACATACCGTATCCTAGAAACAAAATTATCTGAGGAAATTATGCTTGGAGATAAAAGGACTTTCAGAGCAGGCAACAAAATTATGTAAGCTACTGCCCTTGCTAGCAACCCAACAACGTTGACCTCAGGGAGACAATACAACAGTATACCTCTTTTTAGTTAAAAAAGACAACACGACCTTATTCCTAAACACCTTAAAAAATAAATATTTCAAAACATGCTAGTATCTAAGACACAGCAAAGTCTGGTCAGATGGCCTAGACCAAGAACCTCAGCCAGAAATAAATGTCTCTACAGTTACCCCAGGCAAGACGGAGGCCGACCGAGAATGAAAGGGCTCAGCTTTAAGCACCCCGGGGCTTGGTCTATGTTTAGCTGAAGTCCCTGTTCCTAGCGCATCTGTTCTTGGGGAAAAAATTCAGTCCTCATCACAGGTTTAACTGAGTAACATTTCTGAAAGACTGACAACGATGAGATGAACATCAGTGTCCATCATTCTAAGGATGACTGGTGCACCCATGCAAGCCACAGAACTACAGGTGCTTTACAAAACAACTCACGGATGTGGATCAGTCATGTGTGCTTAACTTTGCATTCTCCTTGTTTGGTATAAAAACTAAATGAAAGCAATGGATAAAGAACTGAGATTTTGTTTTCATATGATTGTGAACAAAATCTTGTGATATCCTCGCTGACCTCAGAGCTGAGTTTCCACTGGACAGACTTGTGGGGGCTCTTTGTACAGAACTCACATGACAACCTCAGAAACAGGAGCACAAACAACTCACAGACAATATTGGGCCACGAGCACTAGAATAGTGTACACGGTGAACAGACAAGTTAGCATTCTGGGTACTCATCTGGCAGAAAGGTGAACATTTTATGCCCACGAAGCAAAGACCAGTGAGTGTCATTTTGTTGAAAGGTGCAAGGCATGGTGTCAGACACACCGCCCTCTACAAACGATTCTAAATACTGTAAAAGCAACCTGGGGTGCACATCCCATGCATCTCTCCCCTCTGGGGTCGGGCATTCTCCTTACGCCATAACCCTAGGGTGCCTGGACAGTGCCAAAAGCACAAGAGGCAGCTCAGCAACGTGGGTTTGAGATGTCAAGTCCACTGGCTAATGTAGGGAATCATTTAAACTTAGTTCACTTGGCGAGCTCCTGCTCATATTCGTCAGGCTTGCCATTAGGGATTTAACTTTATGGGCATAATAGTCCCTTAAATTCACCGAAGGGACCTCCTTCATTCCATCTCCAAAGTCACAGCTGCGCATGGCACTCTCGAGTTGCTTTTGGCGCCGATAAAAGTGGGAGAACTTATTGAAGATCAAGGTGATAGGCAGTACCACCACGAGGATACCTGCCAAGATGCAGGCAGAGGCAGTCAGCTTCCCAGCTGTGGTCCCTGGGACCACATCCCCATACCCCACTGTGGTCATACTGACAGTGGCCCACCACCAGCAGGCAGGAATGGTGGCCAGGCCTTCGTTCTCCTCCTTTTCGATGGTATAGGCCACCACAGAGAAGATGGAAATCCCCACGGAGAGGTAGAGCAGGAGCAATCCTACTTCTTTGTAGCTGTATTTCAAGGTGGCCCCCAGGGAGCGAAGGCCAGTGGAGTGTCTGGCCAGCTTTAAGATGCGGAAGATCCGCATCAGCCTCAGGACCTGGGCCACCCTGCCCAAATTGGCCAAGGTAGGGGTGCTCTCTACCACCAGGTTCACCACCAGAGTGATGTAAAAGGGAACGATGGACATGAGGTCAATAAGGTTTAGGGCGTTCTTGAAGAACTTGAGGAAGTCAGGGGCCACAGCAAACCGGGCCACCAGCTCAAATGTGAACCAGGCGATGCCAAAGTGCTCCACGATTTCAAACCTGGGGTCCTCGCCAGGGTTTCCCTGGCCGTCGGGGATCTGGAAGTCTGGCAGGCTGTTGAGGCACATAGTGATGATGGACCCCAACACCACCAGGATGGATAGGACGCTAAAGACCCTGCTCAGGACCGAGTAGCCGGGGTTGTCCAGAGCCAGCCACAGCTGCCTGCGGAAGTTGCCCAGGGGCTGCCCATCGAACTTGGAGGCATCATTGTAGAAGGCTAGGATCTCATCGAAGGAGGACGTGGTGCTCTCCTGGTCGCTCTGCTCGTCCCACTTCTCCTGCTCGGGCTCCACTTTGCGGCCGTGGTAGCTGTAGCTGCAGCAGGAGTCTATGAAGAACTCGTTGATGCCCCAGTACTCGATCTCCTGGCTGAAGGAGAAGACGCACAGCTCCGCCATGACGTGAAGCTTGCCGGTGTGGTAGAAATGCAGCACGTAGGGGAAGAGCTCGGGGTTGCGGTCGAAGTAGAACTCGCGCTGGACGTCGTCGTAGTCGTCGCAGAGCTCCAGAATGGCCTCGCGAGAGTGGCAGAGCAGCAGGCGGCCCAGGCGCGTCTCGGGGAAGCGCAGCAGCGTGTGCGAGCGCAGCCTCCTCTTGAAGCCGCCCACGTTGATGCGGATCTCTCCGTCCTCGACGTTGGCCTCCGACACGTCGCACAGGCTCTGGCCGGTCATGCTGGAGACGCCCAGCCGCCCGCGCCGCGCGGGGGCGCTACACCTGGAAGCGGAGGGGACGCGTCGGCGTGAGCAGCGGCACTCCCGGTCCTCTCCGGGCTGGTCTCTGGGTGCGGAAGGGCGCGGGGGTGGGGGACGGTTCTGTGGGGGTCGGCCCCCTCCCAAGGAAGGGCTGGGGGTGGGGGGGGGGATTTCCACTAGCGT